GCGCATGCGTACATATGTGTGTCAAGTATGGAGATATAGGTGCATGCCCCTGAGCTTGCATGTATGTGTGGTTGGGTGGGGTGGGGGCACTGGATGGTGATGGGCGAATAAGGAGCTGCGCGGTTCGTTGGCTGGGCAGATGGGGGTTTGACTGGCACGTGGGCTGCAAGGGGGGTTGCAGTCGGGCGTGCGAGGGCCCTGGACGCACGCGGCTAGGCAGGGCGCGCGAGTGCGGGATCTCACCGCCGCCGTTGAGAAAGCCATTGGGTCCAGGAGGGACGAGGAGGCGGAGAGGCCTGCGCCGCTGCTGGCGGCCGACGACGACCGGCGGGTGCGCCCCCGCCTGGGAGTGGGTTCGGGCGCTTCAGCTGCTGCTGGCGGTGCTGCTGCTGCTGTATCTAGCGCCGACGCGTCCGCCGCCTCCGACGCCGCTGCGGTGCGCGATCCCCGACGCGCACGTTTGGGTGCCACAGCTGCGGGCTCGAGCGGCGGCGGCGGCGCCGCCGCGGCTGCCGTGCTCGAGGTCTTGGGGGGCCGGCCCCTCCGCGTCGCAGGCTTCACCGACTCCTCATCTTGAGGCAATTCAGCATCCACATCCTTGCGTGTTCTGCCACGGCCTGCCGAGCATTGCACTGACCGGCGACGCAAAGCCGAGGTGGGACCCGCCGAGTCTATATGTAACGGGACCCATTGGTACTTGCAACCACTATACAATCGGCCCAAGGGGCCAGCCTGCATGGCGTCCCTCAGATCACTCAATCCCGTCGGCAACACAATATAAAGAGTGCTAATCAGTTTGTGAGTAGCTTTCTGAAAGCGCTGATCTGTGTCAAGTAATAGAAGTCGACCCCGCTTCAAACATGATGAGCTGCCATTGAAACTCACCTGCTGACAGGCAGGAATTTCAACCCATTCATCGTCCTGAGACATTGAAGGCACCTCTACTGTATCCAGAAATTTACCAGCACCTTCGATCGTGCAGGCTGCCCATTTCAGGCCATCATCTAGATCGCGTTGTCTGCAAGACAAGGCTCGCGGGCCAGGATGCCGCAACTTACGGACCAGCAGATAGCGGACTGCAAGGAGGCGTTCGCTCTGTTTGATCAGGTGTGCGCCGGCAGGGCCGGTGGCAGCGTGGCTGTGGGAGGCAGCGGCCCAGAAGCACAATGGCTGGCGCAAGCACCTGCCATCGAACCCAGCCCAACGCTTCCGAGCACCGTCTTCCACCGTGATGGCTGTCGCGCACCCCCCTGCCGACCAGCCCGCGCCACTGAAGCGTCCCCTTGCAAGCCCCGTCGCCCAGCCCCCAACCCGCGGCCCGCCGCCCCCAACAGGACAACGATGGCTGCATCACCACCGCCGAGCTGGGCACCGTGATGCGCGCACTGGGCAAGAACCCCACAGAAGCAGAAATCCGCCTCTTGGCGAAGGAGATCGACCCCGACGCCAGGGGCACCGTCAACCTGCAGGGTGGGCGCTCCCGCACGCATGCGGCGCCACGCAGAGCGACGTCGCGCGCACACCCCTCGGACCCGGCCCGGCTGCAGCCCGAGGGCCTGTCACAGGCAGCCGACGGGCCCACGCCGCCGCGCGTCGATCAACCAGAGCGGAGCCCCCACGCCGCGCCGCACCTGCGTCCACTCGCGTCCCCCTCCTTCCCGTTGGCTGGACAGCACGTGCACCGGCTCACGGCTGCCCCTGCTCGCCCCGACCCCAAAATGCCCGGCTCAGAGTTCATGGGCGTCATGTCGCGCGACATCCGCAGCTACGACAGCGAGGACGACATCCGCAGCGCCTGGAAGGCGAGCGGGCACCGCGCAGCGGCGGCTCAGGGGGCAGGCGTGGAGCCCCATCTGGGAGGACTTAGCAGGGTGGCTCTGGCTGCCTGGGCTGGGGCTCGCTCGGCCCGCTCGACGCGCCTCCCCTCACAAACACACACGCCAGAACGCCTGCATGGTCGCCGTGGGCACGCCTGCCGCCGGCCGCGCCGCCCCCCAAACTGTGCCCCCGGCCTCCATGCGCTGCCGCCCGCCGCCGGCACCCTGCCCCTCCCAATCCCCCCCCCCCCCAAAAAAACAGGTGTTTGACAAGGATAGCCGCGGGTGGATCAGCGCCGCTGAGCTGCGCCACGTGCTGACCAGCATCGGGGAGAAGCTGGCGCCAGAGGAGATGGATGCTATGATGGCGGAGAGCGACCCCGACCAGGACGGGAAGATACAGTGAGGCGCCGGCCTTTGGGGTTTTTTGGGGGGCGAGGGGTTGCAGAGGGGGGGCGTTGGTGGTCCTGGGGGCGCTCGTCACATTTGGAGGTCAGACCTTGGAGGTCAGAGTGATGCAGCCTTTCAGGGAGATTCATGGGGGGTCCAGCAGGGCAGGGTCGGCTTTAGGGGCGCCGGCCGCGATGGGGGAGTTGTTTGGAGGGAGCTGCTGCTGTTTGGGGTGAGGACGGCAGAAGACTCAGCGCTGGTCTGTTGGGGTCGCCCGGGACGGGCGAATGCAGTGATTGGCCCCGGGAGGGTGGGTACGCTCGGCCCGAGGCTGGTGGGGTGCGGGGCGTGGTGTCCCGTGTCCTTACCGACCGTCCGCCGCGGCCTCTCTCAACCCCTGCTGCAACCCCGCCAGGTACGACGAGTTCGTGCGCATGCTGACCGCTAAGTGATCTGCAGACCCTGTGCAGCGCTGCAGCGCTGCATCAAGCGCGCCGGCTGGCCGCACCCCCGCGCCACGCGGCGCGCGCGGTCGCATCGAGCTGGGGCCGCAGCCCGGCCTCCCCACCCGCAGCACGCGCGGTTGCCGGCGCGGCCGGCCCACTGGCTTGCTGCGGCCAGGCGGCTGCTGCTGGTCCCCTATATGCCAGCGCGAATCCCTCATCATTGTTTCGAAACGGCACGCCGCGCCGGCGACCCCGCGCTTTTGCTTCACCCCACGCGTGCGCACACGCACACTCCACAGGCAGCGCGGCGCGAGCAGCGCGCGGCTGCCTCGCGCGAGAGTTTGTGCATGACCCGCCAGCTGCAACAGCCCGTGCGGAGCGCCGCGGCGCAGCAGAGGTGTGTTCTATTGGCTCAATTCCTTCAGTACAGACAGTGTAAGCGTCGATTACAGATTGTTTCTTCCCCGCGGGGCGGGCTGCCTCAATCAATATGATTACAGCGCAGAGAGGCGCGGCCGAGCAGTTTCTGTGTCAGGGGCGGCGCGGCATGGGGCTGGGAGACATATGGGTTGCCGGGGCGGCGGGCGCCGGTCAGTCGCCTGAGCGCGCTCTATGCCGCAGCCAAGCCCGGCGGCAGGCGTGCCCGCCGCCGGACCGTTTTGCCGGGGACTCAGTTCGTAAGGGGTTGCGGCGGCACAGTGCGCGGTAAGCAGGAAGGGGCACCGAATGGGATGCAGCCGTGTGTTGCGCGCGACGCCGACGCCGTGCAGGGGCCGTCCGAGCGTGTGGGGATCAAGGCGCCCGCAAGAGAATGTGCCGCGAGGGGGTTGGGATGTCGGCGGACAGTGCGCGCTGATGAGCCCCCGTGATCAACACCTCACCGCCCCTGCGCCGCAGCCGCCGCGGCCCGCGCGCGCGGCCCGGCCGCGCCCACAGGCGCGCCGTGACGCCCCGCACCTGCGCCGGGCTGCAGGCGCAGGTCGCGCAGACGCGGACGCGGCCACAAAAGAGTCGGTCTGCGGGTCAGCCAGTTGGGCCCTGGGGCGTGCGTGCCGGAGCAAGCGCCGCAGCGCAGGGCCGACGCTCGCCGCGGGCACGCGAGGCGCGCACCCAGGAGCCCCGCGGCCCCGCGTGTACAAGGGGCGCGGGGCATAAAATGACATGGCATGGCATCTCGCGAGCGGTCATCATCTGTCCAGACCTCACCCCCCCAGAGACCTACCCCACCCTCCTTTTTCCCCCGGCGCCGGGCCGGGGAGCCGCCGGCGCCGGGGGCGGCGCAAGCGATATATAAGGCCGCGGCCGCCGCGCAGGGCCAGAGAGCGGGCCCAGGCGGCAGCGCGCGCGCTGTGTTTGGGGGATGGCACGGCACATTCGCGCGAGGAATGACAAGGGGGCTGCCCCGAGGGCCATTAACATGCATTGCCCCCGGCCCCGCGCCGCGCCCGGCGCCTGCAGGCGGGCGGCGGGGCCGGGGCCAGGAGGCGGTCTTGCAACAACGGGCGGTGCGTGCAGTTCTGGCCCAGCCGCGGCCGGCGGCGGCGGCGGGGCCCCGGCCAAGCGGGTGGTGCGGCACAATTGAAATTGAAACGTTTTTCTATCAAGATCAGCAACAAGGCAGCGGCGCGCCCCGGCCCCGAGGCGGCGCGGAAGCATTCGCCCCAATCTCATCTCAGGATGTCCATGCATGCGGCGCCGCGGCCGCCAGCCGCGGGGCGGGCCCACCCTCACCCCGGCCCCTCCGC